TGTGTGTGTGTGTGTGTGTGTGTGTGTGTGTACATACCATATGGAATGCGGGATGCCACACGCGGCTAATAAATTGCCGTTACTATGAATAATGTTACGGAAAAACGGATTGCAGTGGCGTTTCGTGACGGGACGAAGGAAAGGCAAGTGATTAGACGATTTGATGCCGCCGACGTGAATCTTATTAACCGTGGCTCACGCGATTCGATTTTTAATCGCCCTTCCCGTTGCTCGATGCACGCGTGCGCCAGGATATACTTAATTACGCGAACGTTCACTATGAAAATTAGTTCTCTTTTGTAACAAACGGCCAACGTAATACCTCGACAGTCTATCATCTATCGGGATAGTTTCGTTGTCTAAGAACCTCTGATGCAAAAACCTAGTTCACGTTGTATGCAAATGTGTGCAGTTTTAGTTTCTGACAAACTAGAAATTCATGTTCGTATTTTTGAGAGATCTCGGATTTCGATACTACATATGTACGCGTTGAAATTTCACTTGTTATCTTCAGACGATCGTTGAAGAACAGAATCCATACGATTCAAGTATAATTGAAGAACCGAGGAAAAACCGAGGAAGTTTTAGTTCTACAAAATGGCAGTCTAAATGGTTTTTTTTTTTTCTTTGAATATCATGATACGAAATAACGAAGACTCAATCACGCGCTTTTAAGAGTTGCTCAAACATTAAGTACCGCATAAATGTTCCTCGAACGTTTATTTTCGATAAAGCAGTCGAGAATTATACGTCATATACACTGATTCAAGGAATAACTGATTATAGAATAATCATTAACCGTTGAGCACTCATTAACGCTACTAAGTATGTAAACTAGATGGCCACAGATGTACTTTTATCGGAGCAACCCTCGTCAAAAATAGGCTGTGGAATACCACGGAAAGATTCGTTCCGAAATACTGTGTGTATTATGTATAGCACAATGAATTATAACATAAATCGCGCGTATATTTTGTTACATTAAATATTCGAATTGCGCATAGTTTTTCAATGACCAAAAGTTCCTCCTATGAAAATACAATTTCGCGATACGGTTCCGAATGCTTTCGATAGTTTGTATCTCTCTGCATTTCCCAAGTCCGCTAGTGAACACACGTATTACGAATGCCAATAAATATTTGCGAAATATTTATTTTTTATAGGAATAACACTTTCAGGAAAAAGAATTAGAACGTTTCCTTCGTCTGTATGAAGAAAAATTACTTCCATTTTTTTGTTCCTACATATATGTATGTATATATATGTATGTATGTATGTATGTATGTATGTATGTACGTATGTATGTATGTATATTCCTTTCTTTTTTATACTTCAATAAAAAGATCACATGTCGCATGGAATATAAATACATATACTTTAGTATCACGGATTTCGTAACTGCAAAATGCAAGGGGAAAAAATCTTGAAAATTTTCCAATTAATACATATCCCACTTTCCCCATCGCATATCACGCGATAATCAGGGCAGAGTTATTGAATTACTTTACAATTGAAATGTCTGTGTTCCTCCAGAATTTTTCATTCTTTCTGCCTGTTAAACGATTTAGTCTTTTGTTACCATCTTAATATTTAAATTACAATTTAGGATAAGTAGTTTTAAAAGTAAGCTGCAACATGATCAATAAACGAAATTGTTTATCAAAATATCGTTTTTCTCTTGCTTCCCCAACTTTTACAAAATCGTTGAAATACTTTGTTGAGAGAAAAAGAAAAACGAACATTCACGTAGCTTACAACAGAACTCAAATTGTTAGGAAATTAACATTTTATTAACATATTAAGTAAAAGTTGAATACGAAGTAGAAATGAAACACAGTAATATTCTTGCTGACGATGCAGCAATAAAATTGATAGTGAAGACCGTGGTGTGAATTCATGTAAAACCTTCGCCTTATGTATCCTCCCGAAGAACTTAAACTCAAGTGTCTTTACTAATGCAAATTTCAATCTTAATAAGATAAAGTTATGCGACTGTTTGAAATTCAGTGAATTGCAAAATTAAAAAATTTTAATTAATAAAAACTACTTGATACTTTTATTATTTTTATTGCCTATTGTTTATATTTAATTTGTTGTATTAAAATCGAATAAACTAATAATCGATCTTTATAAACTAATAATAATAACATAGGAAATGCGACTTCCTCTTTTGATCATTTTTATAAATTAAAGAATGTCATTCACGATAAAAAAATCGCATTGCAATTGCACGTAACAATCATATATTATTGCGTTACATCGTAAGAAAACGAATTGTACATACCTTCTCCTGTGTCCGATTCCATACAATCACGCTGTGTCCACTGTTGATTAGATTTTTTACGATTCCGCTTCCCATGATACCCAAACCAAGGAAGCCAAATTTCAAGATCGAAGGGAGGATATTTTTTTCTTTAAGTGTTTGTGACAATGTTTCCACGTCCAAAGGAGGTGTCACCTGTTTGTATCAAATAAACACATATTAATAATTACTATTAATTTAAATGCACATATGGTAAAACAACATAGAAGAAATAAAAATGAATCACGTTTCGAAGTTAAGAATAAAAATAAGCAAACATAAACATTTTTAAATTAAAAATAAATTAGAATTCATTTAAAACATCAGTACGTTTAAACGAAACGAAAAATAAATTTAATATTTTTGGAAGCTTTTATAATATACTATAGCTTTATAGATATAAGATAACATATGTACAAAATCAATGATAAAAAAAATTCATATGTTTAAAAAAAATTACATTATTTTAAAATAAAAATGAACACAGAATCATATTTTGTTAATTAGAAAAATGGAGAATTTATGTATGTACTAATTTTATATCGACGGAAAGGAATTAAAAAAGGCATAATATTATTGTCGTTTATTTATTTACAAGAATGGGTAGAAATTTAATAGGTGCAATTTAATGATAAAAGATGGAAGTTCCTGTTCCTAGTGAATATTTAATTAGAAGATATTTATCACTACACTTTAATTGTTTTTTAAACTGGCCAATACTTTTTTTATACTGGCATTAATTAAATAATATCATAAGTAGAAATAACAAAATATATTTTGCATATATCAATTGTAAAATAATAATATATAAAATAAAATATACTTACAGGTCTAGCGATATTTGCTGGCCTGTTAAGGAGAGTGGATCCTGACTTTCTCAGAGGGGTTGAATGATTCAGTGTTGGGCTAATGCTGCCAACCCTATTGCTATTACTTGTACTTGATTCACTCCGTTGTTTTTTGGCTGGGCGACGAGTATCGCTTGCACTAGAATCCAATCTTTTAGTTTTTGGTGTTTCCTGTAGCAAGAATTTCATACCACATTTTATATTACGTTTCAATTCTAGAATACAACATTTTGCATTAATATTAATGATAAAATTTATTAAATTTAATTGATAACTTCAATATACTTTAATTCAATTGTTTGTTATAATAAGTGATATAAACCTAACCTTACGAGGTTTAGATGGTTTTACTATATTTTTCTTCTCAGATATACTTCCTTCCTTCAATCTGTCAAACAAGGAATCTGGATCTAAGCCATCTTCAAATACCTGGGACAAATAACAACACTGCATTAAATGGTTGATGATAATTAACCACAACGTATTATAAGAAATAATAATTACAAAATATTTATGAAATATATCATTTTTTAATAAACTATATCATATTACAATTTTATTTTATTTATATAACTTACCTCTCCATTAGCAATAAATTCTTCTATTGCTTCTACTGCATCTTTAAATGCAGCAGATTTACTAGATTTTACAAGAGTATCTTTATATTCTAGATATGGTTTCATATTAGATTCTTCGATCCATGCGCTATAAGAAACATTTATGTAAGTTTCAAAAGTAAATATTACAAAACATGAAAAATAAACTTTATCCAAACTTACTAATTATTAGTTCCGAAGAAGAAAATACATTGAACTGGCCCCTTCTTAGTATATGTTGGTTTCTTTAAGTCCTTTGAAGGATTAGACACCTTAAGATGTCACAAAGAAATTAGTATTTATAATAAAAACAATGTCAAATATATCTTCCATATTAAATAATAAAATAAAAATACAATATTATATTTATGAAAAAGAACATTAATGAATTTTAAATCATATTTGTATGACATTTCGTTTTATAGTAAACATAAATATAAATTAAGTTTATCTTTCTATTCATTACATCAATTATATTTATGTACAACAGTGTATTTATTATATTAAACCAAAAATTTGTAAATACGTAATTCTTAGATGTATAATTTTACTTCAAATAATTTAAATGTAAATACTTAATACTAAATACTTAACATATTTTAAATAAATGATAAAATTATTAAAATTTATTCATAAATAATATGTAAGATAAAAATATTAAATAAATTATTAAAAAAGCTATAATTTATAATTACATATATGATATATGATTTTGAATTTGCAAATAAGGAAATTAATAATTAGCACACGAATATCTTATAAGGACTAATTTTGCTACGAAACAAAATTCTTTTTAATTGAAAAAAAGCTATAATCTAAATAACAATTACTTGGATGTACGTAATGTAAATATAAAATTTTGCTATCTAAACATCATTGGTAAAGAACATAATTTAGGTTATATTTTCATAGTCTGCGCGCCAATTTGAAATTTGAAGGTCGGATGCGACCGGAGACGTACAACGAGGAACAATAGCAGCATACAATACATCATTTTATAATAGCACGGTGTACGGTATAAAAAAATCAGATGGAGCACGAAATGTTCCCGCCAAAATGATGGCCGCGTTTGACTTCGTGGCGCGTACAACCAAGCAAAGTATAGTGAACATAGAACCGTTAGTAAAAACTCTAACTCACCCGACCAGGCCAAGGCGAAAATCCTTTCATCTTCGCCCTGAAATCCAGAAAAACATCAATTAGTAATCACTATCATTCGCATTGCACAATTTTTATTATAAACATTCATTGATTAACACGTAATAAATACACACCACACAAGATCACCGAGCTTGAATACTTCCGACATGATCAAAGACCCGTACTTCTCTCACAATCGGCAAGCGACTGACTGACGAGTAGAGCGTCGTTTGTGCATGACGACGACGACATGATCCAAATACCCCCTCCAACACACGTGACTCAAATGAATATCTCATTTTCACTCATGAATTTAATTAACGAAACAATCCATGCGAATATATATTTATTTATTATTTTGATCAAATCTAATAGTTTTTAGGAAAATAATAATATTAAAATAGTATTAAGCTGTAATTGCTTACTTCCGCTAACAGGAAAAATTTTGATTTGTTATATTCCCGTCCTACAACCTAATTTTCAACGTTATTTTATGAACCGCCAATCAAAATTTGACTGCAAAGTTATAATTCTTTTATACAGAATTGAAATAAATAAGTAAAATATTATTTAAAATAAAAATATTTTATATATAAATAAGATAAAAATATAAGAGAAAAATATCTATTGTCTGATAACAGGCTTGAAAATGTATAGACGTGAAAATGTAAGGGAATCTACGTTCACGGTGATACAGCCTTGCCAGCTGTCAGCCATCGATTGTAAGAACTTTTGCTGTCTTAGAAAGCAGCATTACGTACGAAAACAGTATTTTTAATTTCATCTACACAATCAAAATAAAATCGCACTTTGAATAAATTTCACCAGGAATGGATAGTAATATTCGTTACAATATGGTATGTTTTATAAACGATGCTGATTCTAATAAATATTCTTCACGCAATATATTAATCAAAGCGCTAATGAACAATTTACAATTTGTCTTCAACTGCCAGAATGTCTTTTATTTAGTAAACTTATTTTACATATATAAAATAATATTTCTATGTATCATAATGCAAGTTATGCATGAATACTGACCTGCAAATGTCGATAAAAACATTGTCCGCACTGACTGTCGTTTATTTCTTGAAAGTAATTAAAAATGAGAGATTAAATAAAATAAAAAACAAACCTTACACTTTGTTATATTGTTTCAACTATCTTAATGCTAAGGATATATAAGAAATAATATTTTTAATCAAAATAGAAGTGTTTCATCTATTTAAATATTTTAAATCTTACTAAACATGACTAATTTAATTTTAGCCTTCACAAACAAACAGTAACTCAAATGATGAACCATCATCTCAAAATGAAATACCTACACTAACTGTGTCTCTACCAGTCTCACAAAGTGATATAATAAATTCAGGAAATGTTGCTGCAGCACAAACTTCAATTGAAACTCGAATGGTATGATATAAATTTGTTATCGTGTATTTGAAAGTTATTATTATTATTAAGAAAATGAAATGATGATAGACTGAAGAAGAGGACATTCCACCTCCAAAGGCAGATTTTTCAGCTCCACCACCTTACGAAGTTGCCACAAAATTACCTAGTTATGAGGAAGTACAGCGTGAGAAAACATTACAAGGAGAACCTTATCCTCAAATTCACACGGTATTTACTTTAATTATAATATTAATTAATGATAATACTAAAAATTAAATTTATATCACACAATCAAATAACATTTTTATAGCCTGAAAATATTAGAACACCACCAAGGCCTTTAACGATATTGGCTATAGATACTGAAGCTGCAGAGGGAGATCCAGAAAGTGGGTTACTTGGCACTGATTTTATGTTCTTTACAGCATTTTTGGGTAAATGAAACAATATATATCTGCATATTGTATGTACATATATTTTTATTACAATTAGATATATCTAGATAATATATATTTCTATTACAGTTGCATTTTTGTTTAATTGGATTGGATTTTTATTACTGATGTGTTTCTGTCATACAATTGCATCTCGATATGGAGCACTATCTGGTTTTGGTCTATCTTTGACAAAATGGACATTAATTGTTAAACATTCCACTGACCTTGCATCACGTGAAAATTCATGGTTATGGTGGTTGATAATGGGATTTGGTTAGTATTTTAATATTGATACTACTAAATGTTTACATTAATATATATGCTATATTCAATTTTTAGGAGTGTTGATTTGTGCACGAGCTACTGTTCAATATTTGAACATCAAACGTGGCTGGAGACTATTACCTGGAAGTGCTCAGGAACGTTTACTCTTTCTTTATTAAGCCATTGAACTTGCACCTTTATCTAACTTGGCTTTCTAGAACAGCATTTCTATCTGGGGTTGTATTTGTACAATATATAATCTACACCCTTTAAAAATATTACTTTATATTGGCTACATACTATTCTATTATTAGAAGAAAAAATTAAAATTATTAAGACTATATGCCAAATTTGCTTATATATGAGATAAACAAGGCAAGGTAAAAACAGAAATAAGATACTTTTTGCACACTGTTTTATGTATTAGTGTCACATAGATAAAATAAAATGTAAATTTTTATTGCTCAAATAGTATGGACAATGCTTTAATGCGATATATTAATTTATATATTGTTCATTTATACCAATAGATATACGAATCGCTTCGTAACGTCTGAGATATGTAAGTTTATAATACATAAAATTGGAATTATCAGTAAAACAGATTTATTTTGAAAGGAAAAACATATAATCATTGTCCTTAGACAGGTATTGAAGTATAAAAGTTTTAATAGTGATATTGTGTAATACCTGCTAGTACTAGATAAGCTTTTAGAATTTTAAATATATAATGGTAATCTGAATTGCTTGTATGTATATATGTGTATATGTATACATACATAAATGTATAAAATAATTGCTGCGAATCTATATACGTTATATGTTATACTGTCAGAAACTTCATTGTTATATACTTATTACAACAATATAAAAAACTAATGTGTCTTATATTTTTTATCCATATAGTTATGCAAATATATTTTTCCGTATTTATTTTATGCAGATAATGCAGATTTATATTATTATCAAATATATTAATGATAAAATATACGTTTTTACGTAATCACATGTCAAATTTTTTAAATATTAATATTATTTGGCCGCTTTTATTATATAAAAGAAAAAATTATGTGATTGGTCTCATGGTGTAATGGTTAGCACTCTGGACTCTGAATCCAGCGATCCGAGTTCAAATCTCGGTGGGACCTTTTTCTGTTTTTATTACTATGATAGGATAAAATAATTTTTTTTATAAAGCTTTGCTAAATATTACTATGTAACAAGAATTTTCTAAATTTTGATTTTAAATATATTTGCGAGTAACTAACTATTCAAACAAATGCTTCAAGTGGTTTTAATTAATACGAAGTTGTATAATCAATGGATTTACATGCATATTTCCAAGTTCAAATAGAATAAACAAACAAAGTTGAGGATTTAATTAAGAAATTGCAAAAATTGACAAATTACTCGTCTTAGTAAGTTTATTTCCGAAATAAAAATTTTCTCCATTCATGAACACTAAACGCTAGCATTACATAGCGGCCAAATGGTGGAACTAAGCTATATTGTTGTCCTTGTTGTACACAATTGCTCTCTTTGTTTATCACGCAACATCCATTTGTCCTTGTCGCACAATATTTTGTGTCATGTGATATATATCTATCTTTATTGCATAGCTTTCCTTGTCTTGAGCAATATAGGTGTTGCTATCTTTTGGAAACTTTTGGAACTAAAGTCTATTATCAGGTCGAATGTAGGTACGATGATCGATAAATAATAAAGTCACCGTACTACAAATTTTATAATTTATTTTTAACGTTTACATGATACAGAATTTAATGGATTAGTTACGACTGACGACTATATAATGTAGAATGTACAATATACAATGTCGATTATCTCTTTTACAACTACTATTTATATCTTCGCTAATTTGTTATGTATCCTTGACAATTATTTACATACATCTCCTTAGTAATTTTGTTAAAATATTAATTTTTTACATAGTTTCTTATTTTAGAGTTTCGCAAAGTTTCGCGCCGTAAATTTATCTGAAATGAACTCTTTGACGAGACTGTTAAGAAATAGATGTCACTACATGAACGATATATGTGCTGCTATCTGTTGGGTTTTTCTTTTTTATCCTTTTTAATTCCAGACGGAAAGGAGAGGTGGTTAGATGAAAATAAAGGGCACGAAAGTGTGAAACAAAGACAGATATATATTGTGTGATAGACAAGAACAGCAATGTGGATTAATTCCATTGTTTCACCGCTATGTGGTGATAGTGGTTTAATGTTCATGGAACGTCTCGTAGGATGTTAAATTTATAGAATAATTAACTGTTAAAATTAGCAATTAAACAAGATTTTGAAAATTTTATGTATGGATACATATTACTTTAAAATATGGAAAATTCGTCGAAGAGTCAAAACAATAATTGTGAACAAAACCCAATCGTATTTTTAGATATAGCTATTGAATCAGAAAAAGGTAATATGTGAATATTTGGATTATAAAATATAAGTTAATTTTTAATTTCCAGTATTTCTGTTATTGTTCTGTTTTACATTTCGTTTCATTAGAAATTTAAAAATAATTTGTATGATACTATATGATACAGTTGGAAGAGTTGTGATAGAGCTTTTTAAAGATATTGTACCTCGAACAGCTGAAAATTTTCGTGCATTATGTACTGGAGAAAAAGGCATTGGAATCAATGGCAAAAAGTTGCATTACAAAGGATCAATATTTCATAAAGGTATAACAAAAAGGATTAATGTTTCTTGAAGGTAATATAAAAAGTAATATACTTAATGAGAAGAGTTTTATATGGTTCAGTGTTATCACAGTTTATGATCCAAGGTGGAGATATAATAAATTTTGATGGAACAAGTGGAGAAAGTATATATGGAACACATTTTGAAGATGAAAAATTTGAGCTCTCTCATTCGTCAGGAGGATTATTAAGCATGGTAAATGAGGGTTATCCAAACAGCAACAGTTCTCAGTTTATAATTACTATTTCAGCTGTTACACATTTAGATAATACCAATGTAGTATTTGGTAAAGTTTTGAAAGGAATGGGTATTATATTAGAAGTGTGCCAAGTTCAAACAATTAAGGATGTACCAGTGAAGGTTAATATATATTTTTTATAGTCTTTTGTATTTGAGCTAATTTATTAATAAATACATGAGTGTTTTATCATATTTGTAGTATCATATTTTGTTATAGAAAATACATATAATTGATTGTGGAGAGTTAAAACATGATAAAAATTGGGGTATGGAAGAAAATGATGATACTGAAGATGTGTTCACTCCATGGCCAGAAGACTGGGATTATTCCACAGATATTGAAAAACTCAATGTAAGAATATTATTATAGGATTACAGGTTTTTGGAAATGAATTCCTTTTCTAATAAATATTCATGGATATTTATAGTACAAATATATAATGGACGTTATTAAGAGGATAAAAAATTCAGGAAATTGTTATTTTTCACGAAAAAATTATATAGATGCAGGCAGAAAATATAAGAAAGCATTACGTTATTACAAGTGGATGATAAAGACAGTAGATGTATCAGAGTCTTCCAATGAATCAATACTGAACATTAAAGTAATATTATTACTTAATCTTGCAGCTGTTAAATTAAAACAAAAGAATTATCGTGAAGCTTTAAAGCTTTGTTCAGAGGTAAAATTTAATTGAATTTGTTTAATTTTCAACTGTTGTTTAATAATAATTTTACATCTAGGTTTTACAAATAGATAAGAAAAACAGTAAAGCACTATATCGAAGAAGTCAAGCATATATGGGACTAAATGAGTATGATTTAGGTTTAGCAGATTTAAGGCAAGCATCATTAGAATGTCCCAATAATAAAGATATTTTACTAGAAATTGATAAAGTAAAAAGAATTATAAACTCGTATTTAGCTATTGAGAAGGCTTCTTATCAAAAAATGTTTAAATAACAGAAGTATTTTGCAAAAGAATTTGTAAATATAATAAAATTTTTTATATATATTTTAAATTAAAAATATTGCAAACAAAATCATACATATACACGTTTATATACAACACTAATGCTTTTTAACAATATTTAACAATATTGTAAAGTAATTGTATATGTGTTAGCTAAAGTTATTTAAAAATTTTTTATAAAGTTTGAATATAGTGCACAAATAAATATGTGTTCATTTTTATTTTTTTGATAAATATTACTTATTTCGATTTAAGCATTTTTATCTTTATTCAGTAACAATCTTTGTGTAATGTGTACAAAAGAAACAAAACCATGGTATTTAAAAATAAAAACATTATAATGGATATTATTCTGTTAAAATATATTTTGTATTTTGTTAAATATTACTAAATATGAAAGGAACATATGAAACATGCTTATATTATATCAAATATTCATTTTGTATATTTTTATAAACTATTTTACAAATTTGATCATATTTAATTATTTTTTATTATAATTCAAAATAATGTATTTTAATATAGAATTTTGTGATATTATAAAAAAAAAATGTATGTATGGATCATATACAGAATTCAATTATATAAAAGTAAATTATTTTAAACATATACTCAATTATATGACTTATTTATTTAACATTAAGTTCTTAACAATTCTGAGCATTGAAGTGTCTTATATGACACTTAGCAGATGTATGTCACACAAAATAAATATAAGATATAGTTTTAATAGGAGCTTACACATAGTTTCTTTCATTATAATAATATTCTTACAGTAGCAGTGATTGAAATATTTCCAATAACAAAACTCAAGCAATGTACATATATTTAAAAGAATTATTACAACGTTCTTTGTCATAAGTAAAAACTCATATCCTTTAACAATTATTTGTTTTCGTTGAAAGATTTTATTTGTTTCAATAACACTGTATACCTATATAACAAGTTTTAGTTAATATCTACAGTAATTATATGTAGGAGCTTTTGCAATGACTAGATTAAAAATGTTTTTATTATTACCTATATTTTGCAGTAATATTAATTTTTTCTAAGGGTCACAGTTTTCAATAAATAAATAAATAAATAAAAAAAATAAATGCATAAAAATAATAACTATCTAAGTAACATTATTCAAGAAACTTTTTAACAAAACTCGAATCTTCTGCTATTAATAAGGAATGTGTTTTATATATCAAAATTCTCTCTTACATCTTTATAAATACTTCAATCTGAGAATTGACGAATAATTTTGGAATTTGTAACATTGAATCCATGATTCTTGTGCTGTACAGTAATATTTTTATGATGCTTTTTAGAGAAGAAGCAAAGCTTTTTGTGAAACATATAACATTCTTAATACATACTTTATACATCGGCGAACTTTTTAAAAACCAGATATGTGGACGGAAAATTTTCAAAATTGCTTCAATGACTGTATACATAATGAATCAACGTACTGATATGATTGTTTAAAATTATGTTTTAGATTTCTTTTAGATGCATTTTATGGTAATTATTTGAATTGTGATAAATCTGATTTTGAAATATTTGAAACATAAAATTAAAAGCATTCAATTTTGTTTCATGAATATAATTAAGGCTAGTCTCTGAACTTATGTACAGTGAGTATTTTTAGTTAAAAATGTATTATCTTCATTTATGAGTTTTACTATTCATTGGGATTCACATTTGTTTCTTCTTAAGGCTTTCAACTTTGCACCTTCATTCTTTTTGTAATTGTTTTTTTTTATGTCTTCTCAGATTAAAGTTATTCCTTTTCAATTTCTTCTAAATCATTTTCCTTTTCTAAATTTGCACAATTTTCTGTTGTAATTTCTGTTTCAATCAGATTGTGTAACTCTTTACATAATGTTTCTTCACAAACTTCACCATTTATAACAGCATTATCAATTACATCATACTCATGTTTTACATCATGTTCCACTACATCCTTGAAATCAGGTTCTATAATCTCTTCACAACTTTTAAACATGTCAGGATGTTCTGTTGAATTCAATAACTCAGGATTTTCGTTAGAGTTCAATATATCAGTATTAACTTCATCATCTGTCGTATCAGTGGACTGAGACACTTTTTTTAATACACTGTCAATCAAATTAGATGCAAAACTTCTGTTCTCATTTCCTTCATGAATTGTTTGATGAATCGGCAAAGTTTGTGGTCTATGTGGTCGTGCATAAGGAAACATATGTTCTTCACCAGCTGGAGTATGAACAGCTGATATTTCTGTCTGTGTGGCAACACCATTATCAATAAGATTGGCTTTTGATTGCATATTCGACATACATCGTTTTATTTCTGACATAGAGTCTTGTAATTGTTGAACCTAATCATATATTAAAATTTAAAAAATATAAAAATATCATTAATATTCTAAAACTTATTATAACATTATTATAATTATAATAATTATAAGATATAATATGTTACCTGAGTGTGCAACATATTACATGTTTGTGCTAGATTGGTTACAACATCTACATTTTGTGCAATATTTTCATTATCAGAGTTTGTAGAATCTCGATTAACAGTAGGTTGAAGACTAACAACTTTTTTCCATAATGCATTAATTGCTTGCATTTGTAGTAATTGTAGTTTATGTTCACTTTCTAATGCAGTTCGAGTAGCTTCCATATCAGTAGAGAGTTTCCTTTAAAGAAAAGAGAGATTAATAAATTATATATTTTGAGAACGATATTACGTTTATTTAATGAGAAAATGAAAATCATACTGGATATATTTATTTGTCCTTATCATTTCAATAGTTTTCAATATGGTGGTTGCTTTTTTATTAAGATTTCTAGTATGATACCCTCTCCACATTCTTTGAATACATATCGCTGCCTTCTCAGCTTCATCTTGATCTATTTTAAAAATATAAAATTATTAAGCTTTTTAGTTTATTAAGAAAACCTATCTTTGTATTTATTGAACGAAAAACTTTTATTATCTTTATTATCTACCTTTATTATCTTCCTGTCTTCTTTGAATAGCTCTATGTCGAATGCTATCCAATTTTGCTTGACATACTTCACTATCCTCATCACTGCTTTGAGTAGCATTATCTGCATCACCATCTCCATTCTTTTTAATGACACTACTTTTTATTTTATCATTTGCACTTTTTGGTCTTTGTATATTCCTGCCTAAATTTGGTGAATTTTTCGTATTTCGTTTAGCAGGTAATGTCTTGCTTTGAACATAATTATTGATTTTCACACTATGCGGACATTTAGTGTTAGTATTTGTAATAATAGGTTTAGCGATATTTGGTTTTATAGTACAATTTGTTGCTGAATTGCTTTTCACAAGTGCATTTGCTTTTATGGAAGTAAGATTTGTTTTTGCCATTGGATTTACTGTATTTATTATGGGGATAGCTTTACCATCTCCATCAGAAATAGGTTTGCTTGGCATTGTGATTTGACATGGAGATGTTAATTTACTTGGTGGAGTTTTTGCTGAAACTCGAGAAAGGCCAGATGGTGGACGAAAATCTGGACTCATTAAGGATTCTGGAACTGGTACTAATTTTGTTGCAGCTTGTAGAGGACTTGATGTCTCTGCAAATCAAATTTTCAGTTAGTACATTTAATAAATGAAACGCATAGTACATTTAATAAATTTATTATTTTACCTTCTGCATCTTGTGAAATAGTATTTGATGTTTTATTGTTCAAAGTACCACAAAGCATATTTGGATCCAAACTTTGAGTCATCAAAGATTCCTGATCTTCATTTAATAAAGTATGGCACGAAGAAACTATAGCATCAGTGTGACAACTAGATATCATTCTATCAGGTGACCTTATTCTTAATGAATTTCTTGATGAACCTAATCAAATATCGTCTACTTATATTTGCTATTAATTTCATTTATTATTATTATATATTTAATCGTATTTGAATTCTTTCTGACTAATTTCAATAGCAGAAGCATGCAAATAATATTTAACTAAGAACAAACAATATAAAAAGTGTGAACTATGTGAAATATATTTCCAAATCGTCAAATGCTAATTTGCTAAAGAAATTTTCTAATTAGCATCATTATTACTCTGCTGTTTTTTTCATTCTCCAAAGTCATTTGCGCTATAAGCTTAAAAACGTAATCACTTAAAAACGTACTATTTACTAGGCATAGAAGACATAAACATGTGCATTAATCTAAGAAAAAAATTCTTGATAATATACAGTACTATATATAGTACTATGTTATTATCTAACTTTTATTTTTAATTAGCTTTATAAGATACAGATGATATTTGTCTTAGATTTTTACACGTGTCTATAATGCAATTATAGCTGTGTATGATTAATTTCCATCTTGACTTTGGATACCTTTACAAGGTGAATGGCACACACAGTACTTTGCTTCATAAAATTTTGGTGACTGTAAGCATTTATCTTCATAGTATGTCAACATTGGCGCAACTAGAGAAAACACATTATAACAAGGACATATAGGTGCATGACGACTGGAAAGTGTACATCACTACTAGTCCACGTTTTACGATTATAAGAAAACTTCACAGAAATATGTATTGTACTTACAACAATAGTGAAAAAAAAGGAAAATTAATTAACTCACTGGTACGTCTAGGAGAGCTTGTCCTGTTATGACTAAGTCTACGCCTAGTAGCCGGAGAAGGACTCATTCCAACGCTACTTAAGCTGTGCACACTTCCAGTATCACTTTGTTGATTTAACTGCTGTTGATGATGTTGTGCTTTGCTCAAAATTAGTCTTAGCTTCCTGTCAGTTTCGTTTTCTAAGGATTCACCAGAAAGTGGGCAAACAGATGCTAAATACTGTGCTAGTAGTGCATGTTCGCCAACACGGAATTGTCTACCACGTCCCTGAGAATATAGCCACTCTGCCTTTAAACTGAGTGGCCATCATTTCAAGTAAATTTTAATTCTTCAAAAACTGAATAAAGCTCTATATATATATGAAATAATCAATATGTCTAAAAAGTCACCCACCTTTCAATAGGATCGACAGGATAGCCATCAATTGATTTCAAGCTCATACACCAATTGATAACAAAAGGTCGATAGTCAAAACCACTATAAGCTATTTGTTAAGAAGCTATAGCTGGAAATCTACAGTTAATATAAATGTTTTTGTTTTGTATGTACCTAGCTTTCTACAAGCATAATGTTTTATTGAAATATTCTATGTGATAACACATTACAAAATAACAAGAAAATGTAAAATTGTTTCTGCTATATATCACTAACTGACTTCTAAAAATGAATATATCTGACTTCTAAATCTGACTTCTAAATGAATATATTGATTTGTATTACACAATTATGAAAAGGATACATACTGTTACCTGTCATACTAACACATGGATTATTAGCAATTGAAAAATTTATTACATTTTTCAAATTAGCTAAATGTGACATTTCATTCAAATCTGTAATGTTATTGTTTGCCAATGTAAATGTTTCTAACGAGGTAGGTAAATAGCGTTCACACTGCCTTAATGTTATTATGCGATTGTTATGCAGAAAGAGTTCCTAAAAGATTATTAATTTTGTTAAAATTACAGTTCAAGATTATACAGTTCTTTATTATTATACACACATTTAATGAAAATAAAAATTAACCTTACCTTTAAATTTCGTAGATAAGATATATCTGAGATGTGACTGATACTATTTTCAGATAAATCTAAATGCTCCAATTTAGTATTGGTATGCAAGTGTTCAATGGACTGCAAGTTAATAAAGATTCGATATATATTAAAAATATATATTAAACTTGTATTTATCATACCTTTATATTATTGCCAGCTAAGCAAAGTGTTTGTAAATTTATCATATCCTTTATGCCTTCTATAGTCAATATACCATTATTTGCTAAATTAAGAGTTACTAGATTATGTAACTTGGACACGCCATACATACGAAGCAATTGATTCCTTACTATTGACAGCTGAAATAATTTAATTAGAAATCGTTTAAACAGTATTCATTTGCTACATTAAGAACTATGATTAAAATATGTATGTAGTAATAAGAAGAAAAATATAAAAAAATATATATAATAAAAATGCATCAATTTAACTTTTCATTGCATATCATGGACATATTACCTTAGTAATTCTGTGATAAGAATCAAGATTATCAAGACGTTGAAGCTCATTATCGTCTATGATCAATGTGCTAATATCTGCATCCGATGGACAACGAGGAAGTTTCTTTAAACCTTGACCACTTAGATCGAGTGTATCGCACACTAAAGATTCTGTAGAAATAACACGATTTCACTGTTGTTAATTTAATTAAAACAGTAAATATCAAACAGAAAATATCAGAAAATAAATGACAAGTGTAAGATCGCAATGAGACCATACTGTTTTGCGCAAATATATTAACTGAATTTATAAAACTTACAAAAGATTAATAAGTTTTAGAAATACCTGAGATATTTATAAAAAGAAAATAATTTGTACAAAAATTGTATAATACAAATATTAAATTTTCACTAACCCGTCGAAGCCATGATGAACACAATAAACTAGTAGACGCTATAAAGATGTCGTCGTAATCACTCTAGTACTTAATAAGAATATATATTTATAAAATATAATAATATTAATCTCAGTTTTTATATATAATTCGACATAGATACAGGAATAAGTAATATCACATTAATATTTTTTATAATCTTATTTTTGTTTTCATTAATAATATTTCTGTCCGATATGTAGATTCAACGTTATTTTTATACGATTAATTGCTATTTGATTAAAAAACGATATTGTAGTTAACATGAATAATGTTATGTTTATAAAATACAGATTTTTCAATTACCATAAACAATAGTTGTACCAATGGTTGTACTCATTGTTTTGAAATTGCGCGTACGAAAATTAGTATAGCGATTCGAGAGTTCTAATATAACTCCGCTAATTTTTAGATTTTTATTAACTTGTGTTTAAAGTTTGATTTGCCTTCTGAGATATAATTATAATTAATAGGTAAGGTTTTATTTAATACAATTAATTAATACCATACTTCTTATATATACTACACATACTGATATTATAATAATAAAGCCACGTGTTAGTTATACGTGTTAGTGCTGTGAAATTACAAAAAGGTTTAAGAAATAAACTAATAATGAAACGTATAGTTAGCGTATATAATGGACACAAGTCTAGTATTATAAATCGTAATGCCATTGCTGAAGGCAAGAATTTTAAAAAGAAAATTATTAATATCAAAAAATGTGAGCCACTTCTAACCTTATCGAAAAATAGTATTACATCTAATGGAAAGCTTGAAAACAATGCGAATAAAAAAGAATGTGAAGGTTTATCTGAAATACCCAAGGATTTTGAAAAGAGTTTTTATCCAATAAATACTATGAAAAATAATCACGAAAAAGTTTTAATAAAACATAAAAATACACAAATATTAGGAAATGAAAATAAACATGAGGAAATTTATCATGAAAAAATCAGTGAAAGTAATCTAAGAATTAATGAAATTAATGTGCAAATGCTTCCAAAATCATTACATCAACAAATATTTAAAAATTCTTCTGAACAAGAAAAAATATCAGAGACAGAAATACAATCTATAAAAAATAATTTACGTTCATATGGGATAAATACTACCGATGCGAGTAGATTACCTGATGTTGATATTAAAATACCTCCTTTGGAAGGTGATAATATTGAAGAACATTTTTATAACATTGGAAAGGCACAGAGTAAACCTTATACAAAACTTATAAAAAGTATTATGACAGATATACCACAAATGCCAAAACAATGGTTATTGAAAGAAGGTTGGACAAGATATAGTGTTGATGGAATACAAAGTGTAGATTATCCGCTAGAAGAAGCTATTATTTTTGATGTGGAAGTTTGTTTAAAAGAAGGCCCTTTACCAATAATTGCAACTGCAGTAACTAATCGAGCATGGTACGGTTGGGTATCAAAATCTTTGATTAATGGTTTAAGTAGAAATTTTGAAGGCAAGCAGTTTAGTATAGATGAATTAATACCAATGGAAAGTACAGCTATTGAAAATGGTGAAAAATTGACTTCTTTTCATAAAAAGCCAAAGATTATAGTTGGTCATAATGTGTCATATGACAGAAGTAAAATTAAAGAACAGTATTGGTTGAAACATACAGGATTAAGATTTCTTGATACAATGTCACTTCATATATGTATTGGTGGAATTAACAGCTATCAAACAGGAATTTTAAACTCTACAAAAGATACAGATGAAAAACTAAATTTACAAATGCGAACTTCATTGAGTAGTTTAGCAGAAATTCATAAATTTTATTGTGGTTCTGAAATAAATAAAGAGTTGAGAGATGTATTTATAAATGGAACTTTGGCAAATATCAAAGAAGACTTCAACTCTTTGATGACTTATTGTGCAAATGATGTAATTGCAACTCATAATGTTTTATGCCATTTATTTCCTATATTTGAAGAAAGATTTCCTCATCCTGTTACTTTAGCAGGGATGTTAGAGATTGGTACAGCATATCTGCCAATAAATTCTAATTGGCAAAGATATTTAGACGAATCAGAGACTACATTTGAAGATTTAAATTATGAAACTAAAGTTATTCTTGCTAATAGAGCTAATGCTGTTTGCGAGCTTATGCATAATGAAAAATATAAAGAAGATCTATGGATGTGGGATGAAGATTGGAGTACACAAACACTTAAAGTAAAAGCATGTTATTCAAAAGCAAATATGAAGAAAGTATGTAAAGTACAAAGTAGAAAGTACAAGGTAGAAAAGAAGGAAAAATTAGAAACTCAATGCTATTTAACGGACGATGAAGATGAAGAAGATCCTTTAGAGAAAGAATTTGCTTATTTAACAGAGACAAGGAAGTTTTTACCTTTGAAATTACCACATATGCCAGGATATCCTGCTTGGTACAGAAAACTTTGTCCTAAAATAAATGACGAAAACTGGGCTCCTGGGCCTCAAAATATAAGTATTTCTAAACGTATTGTCCCAAAACTTTTAAATTTGACATGGGAATATTATCCTTTGTATCATGTGAAAGATAAAGGTTGGGGTATTTTAGTACCTTACACTAAAAATTTAGATATTGAAACTAAAGTACCTTTAAAAGAACTTTTAGCACATTGTTCTTTTTTAAAGATGGAAAATTCATTTGACGAAACAAATTATACGTTATCAACTATCGACAAAGAAGTGCAAAATGAGTTACATAAAACTGAATTCTGGCGTAACAAAAAGAAAAATCCTATTCCTGAGTTAGCTAATATTTACTGCGGCAGTGCACAATGGTGCAATGTGGTTATAGATAATTGTTGTTACTTCCTTAAATTGCCTCACAATGATGGGAAAGGCAGCAATGTCGGTAATCCTTTGAGCAAAGATTTTTTGAACAAGTTTTCAGAAAATGTATTGGCTAGTTCAGATGCCAGTGCTGCCGAAATTTTGAAAATTGCAAGGATGCTTTCATACTGGAGGAACAACAGGGACAGAATTATGTCACAGTTTGCGGTATGGTTTGAAAACTCGCATTCACCACGAGGCGTTAAAAGTTCAAGAAAGTCGATGCGTTATGGAGCAATTTTACCTCTGGTAATTGTTTGCGGGACGTTGACTAGACGAGCAGTAGAACCTACATGGATGACTGCATCTAACGTTCATTCTGAACGTATTGGTTCTGAGTTACGAGCAATGATTCAAGCGCCTCCAGGATATAATATTGTCGGCGCCGACGTTGACAGTCAGGAACTGTGGATCTCATCGATAATAGGAGACGCTTATTATAAAAAAATTCATGGAGCTACGCCCTTTGGTTGGATGACATTAATTGGCACGAAATCTAATGAGACTGACATGCATAGCGTTACTGCCAAGGCAGTTGGGATTTCCAGGAGCGAAGCGAAAGTTATTAATTACGCTAGGATTTATGGCGCTGGTCAAAAGTTTGCAGAGACACTCTTGAAACAATTCAATCCGTCAATGACAGATAGACAAGTTGCATCCAAGTCTCAAAAAATGTTTGCCATGACGAAAGGCAAAAGGGTTTTTAGATTGAAACCTGAATACGTCGATCAACTTCGCGACAAAGATTACTTATCACACGAGACGTACAAAATATCGAAATTATACAATAAACCATTATCGGAGATATTTGAGAAAGGTAAATGGACCGGTGGCTCAGAGTCCGCAATGTTCAATAGCTTGGAAGAAATCGCGCAAAAGCCTAGTCCTGTTACACCTTTCTTGAAGTCCAGGCTGACCGCAGCTTTAGAAAACCCGACAAACGATGAGAAATATTTGCCCACGAAGGTAAATTGGGTAGTTCAAAGTGGAGCGGTCGATTTCTTACATTTGATGCTGGTCTCGATGAAGTGGCTCATGAAAGATAATATGAGATTTTGTTTGTCGTTTCACGATGAAATACGGTATCTGATTCCCGCACGATACAAGTACAATGCGGCACTTGCCATGCACATTACGAATCTCTTAACTCGTTCTTTTTGTGCTTCGAAACTTGGAATGAAAGACCTGCCGATGTCGGTAGCGTTCTTCTCCTCCGTAGAAGTGGATACTGTTCTACGCAAAGAATCCGACAATGATTGTATCACGCCGTCGAATCCTCACGGTTTAATAAATGGTTACGAAGTTCTTCCAGGAGAAAGCTTGGACGTATGGTCCGCCGTAGAGAAATCCAAAGGTTCTTTGGGACCTTGGCACGACGTAAAGAAACAGTGAACAGTGAACAGTTGTTTCTTTGTGGACTTGAACTAAATACGAACTGAAAGAGATAAGACCACAGGCCATTGTTAAAGTTAATAAATTAAATAAAGTTAAAAGGATTGTATCGTTCGTTTTTTTTTTTTAAACACGATGTCTATAAAATATCTATCATTTGAATTTACAGATTAAAATGTCCAAAGCAACGAAACGCAAGCACGTTGTCAAGGAAATTCAAGATTTGACCATTCCTACTGAAACGCAGTTGATCGTTCGAATAATACAATCGCGCGGTAATAATCTTCACGAAGTTATCGATCCCACGGGATCTCAATATCTTGTGTCCATGCCGGTGAAGTTTAGAAGAAATATCTGGATAAAACGGGGCGATTTTGTCTTGGTAGAACCAATATTAGAAGGGGACAAAGTGAAGGCTGAAATCGTCAAGATATTAACACGGGTATATGCTTAATTGTAAATGCATATCTTTATATCGAATTACCATTTTTTTGAGAAACAAATTTAATTAACTTACCTTAATTAGGAACACAAAAAATGGTACCGGGAACAAAACTGCTGGCCCACAGAATTCGATGAAGCCCCGAATTCGAATAAAGAAACAACCGGTGAAGAAAATGATAGCAAAGAAGACGATCTTTTTAAAAATACAAATAGATTATTACATAATAGTAATAGGATAGATACGACTAGCGATACGAGTTCCGACGAATCAGATTCTTGTTAATATTTGTATCACTGCAAATATTATTTTATTTGTATTTATTTACACCAATAAATTTATTTAATAACGTAACGCTGTTTTTGACGTTATTGTGATACCTTTTAAACGAATTTTATTCCACCATAAAAAAACAGAGAAATATATCTCCGTTTGACAGAGGCAGCTGTTATCGCAAATATCGTCATTGCATTGTCTGATTAATCTTATCGAGTAGTATGATTTTTACAATTTGATGCGCATTCTGTCTTTTGTCGTAAAACAGAAAGCTCTGTTTACTTTTAACTCTTTCTCTTCTAGTCATTCTAATACAATTCTCCAAAATTCATCATCTTCAAAAAACATGTTTTTTCTGCCGTATCCAATGTGTTAGTCCCTTTAGAATTTCATAAATACCACGAAAATGATGATCTCTTTTTATATTTCCATGAACTCTATAAATCACGGAATGTTTCGTATTTGATCACTGTAACTTGTAAATCGAAAATTCTTTTCGGATCAGTGAATCACGGTAGTATAAATATGCATTTCTTATGAACATTTGAACATGTGCAAACACATTTATACACGAACATCGCTCTTGTTCTTTGCTTTTCATTGTGACTTTAATTTTAATTTTAAGAATGTGCTTATCTCGTAAGAGCCAGAATTTGTCACCGAGCTCGATAAAATGTTACAAACAATTGTTTCACCAATCAGAAGAAAAAGAGGAATTCTTTCGATCGATGAGAGTTACATTTACATTATAATTGAAGATAAAAAGTGGTGCTTATCAAGATACAGTCTCAAATGTATGCGATAATCGAATCCATTGAAAATCTTAATAGAATTGAGCGGAACGTTACACCGGTTCTCTTATCGTAAAATCAGAAGAGATGAGGCGAAAGGTGTCCAACGATATCGTTAAGAATATTACGTTCCGTCACGCTGTACGGTAGTCTGCTCTCGACAGCGACGATCGGCTGATTTACCGTCCTCCCCTTCATTTCGACCATTCATTTTGATCATCTGTGTTAATGACAGCAAGTTACACGCTCAAAACAGATATCTCTTTTTCGCTCGTCACCGCG